CCTAAATAATCAACCAAAGAAAGGGGGGCCCGGGCCCCCAACCTCCCCCCCTGGATCAGCCTATGATATATGTGTTTATATATCTCTCTGATATCCCATTTCAAATCAAATGTGTATTAATAAAACTTTACACAAGAAAAGTAAGGGATAGTTACTCATTTGGGAAACTTTCAAATTCACAGCATGCCGGTGCCCGTGTTTTCATCACCCTCGTTGTATTGCGGAATAACGATTTAGGCAAATTGAGAAAAACATCATGTCTGTGGTTGATAGTAGTGTGTGTGCATTAATTTTCTATACCTTCTTATTTAATATTTTTCCAATTTTGAGTACTGACGGCAAGTGTTGTAACGTATAGTGTACCAATGTCTTGGGACCAATGTGCTATTTACAAGTGCGATCGAGGAATGCAGGGGAAAGAAACTTATCAATTATGTTTATTCTTTAGAAAATATTAACATTAACTAGTACATTGATAATTTACTATGCAGTCAGTATCCCGAAAAAAAAACGTATGGATGCAAAACGCTTCAGTAGTGGTTTCGGCTGACTACTATTAATACGTGCACTTTGTCTCAAAATATCCCGGCAGCGTTAAAGTTGAAGTCAGGATCTTGGGAGGGGGGGACTTCTTTTTCTGTGTTCTTTATTTTTTTTAGCTATATTTCTACAAACTTACACTTTTTGATCATTACTCTCTTTCCTCATATTTTAGCATTTCATTATTCTTTAATCTTTATTGTTTGCCCGTTATTCTCTATTCTGTTAACCCCCATCCATACCCTCTTATGTGGATTTAAGCTTTCGGTAGTTTATTTCATCCTATTTCTGTCTATGTGAATGTAAATACTTTATTTATCACAAAACAAAAACTTACTAAATATTTTTTTATGAAGTCCTCACCAGTTGCGGATCCAAAAAATGTCATAAAGAGGCACTAACTGTCATGCATAAAGAGGGGCCCGCTTCAGTGATTCTCTAAATAATCAACCAATTTTTTCCAAAAAAGGGACGGGCCCCATGTCCTCACCTTAATCCACCTCTACCCCTTCCCACTTCGTATCATTGAATTCAGATTCAAGATCTCTCTGATTTAAGTAAGTAAGTCACATTTGCTTATATCAGGTTTTTGAATTGAACTGGCGGATAGTTGTTTCATTACCAATCATACCACATCTCCTTATTTTTTATATATACGAAAGCTTTATTCATATTTTTAGGTGTATTGATGAATGTGTAAAGATGCAGCAATTGTGTAGATACATTTTAACATACAGCACAAGAGATGCATATTATATAAAACTTATAAGTCGAAGACACACTGACAACGCCATGGCAAAAACTTAAAAACGACCAAATGACGTACAACAGTCTATAAACTTAACTATAGCATACAAAACGCAAACATTTAAAACACAAAAGAAGCACCCAGACAGTCAAATAGAAATTTAAAGAATAAATAATTTGTAAAGATTTTCAACTAGGCCTACAGCTATATTTTCTTATCATCTAACAATAAACATAGATTCTGGTACTATGTGATAAGTCATACCCAGTTTCATAGATACCTTGAACTTAAAGTGGTTTTATGCATATCAGCCCAGATTGTGTGTGTAATTTTATTAAACAATTCAACAATACACGTTCTAAACAGGTTAAATTCAATTTACAAATTTACAAATTCAGATCTACTGGCATTCAACACCCAATTACTTACTTGCTGTATATTGTCAATCCCTCAACATCGTGAATACGCCATGCGAGGTGTTGGCTATGTTTGATACAGGGTGGCGGCTTCGAAGCGTAGAAAAAAATCCAGGTAAATGAAAGTGTAAAATTTTGTTGTTGACAATTTTAAGTACTAAATTCCTAAATTTGTACTAAACTCCATTCTACGGGTAACATGGTTGTTTGATATGAAAATAGGATAAAAAGCATCCGGAAAAATTATCACATTATAAGTATTCGTAAATGGATATGAAAAAACTTAACAAGGAATAAGTATCGGTAAACGGACAGAAAGTCGCAGTACAAATGTTTAAATTAATTATTTTACAATTGTTTAAATATATGAGAGAAAGTTCTTGACGAATTGACTTTATTTATAGATGGTATTTAGTTGAGGAAATGATTAATTCGCTTTCAAATAGTTTTTTTTTTTTATCATTAACTTATAAAAAGGAGACATTTTTGACAGAATGAAGCCAGTTAATTACCAAACCACTTTGGCAGATTGTTTTCTTAACAATCATTGTTCAATATTAATATTCAAAAATAAATTTTGTTTACAAGTCCGTTTCCTTTTAAAAATGTTTCAGAAAAATACTGAAACGTTTTTAAATTTAAGTTTATTCAAAGAAAAAAATATCCCAAAACTAAATCGTGACTCAAAATTTCCTAATGAAATTGTTAGATTCCAAATATTTAGGAGAAGATTGTATTTGTACTTTATGTAATGGTGGTGATATTGGAGACGCGATTCATTATATTATAGCAAGGATTTGTACCAATCCTTGATTATAGAATGTTCGGCATTGACGAAAGTAGACAAACCCTATTTAAACGGGGTTTTGATCTCCAAGGACCCCACATTTTACATCGAATAAGATCTATATTATATATTATATATATTTTAACGTTTTCAAATGAAATAACTTGAATTGAAAATTTCCCGACTATGTGAAGATTTCTTATATTTCTAAATGGCTTCAATTATTACATACAAAACTTTTTTTTGTAAAAACAATATTCATGTATTATTATAATTTTTCCAAGGAAACGCTTTCTTTTTTTTTTTTTTTTGCAAAGTTTACTTGTATGTGTTTATAACCATCACCAATCAGTCCTAATTATTAAAGATCAAACGATCTAATCAAAATGATGATTGGTATTGAATATGATCATCGGTTATGCATGACGTATCCCAAATAACTTCTTTAATGTTGGTTTGATTTTATCAAAACCAAAATTATAAGATCAATAAACAGCATGCGCCATGAGCGCATGATACGCCCGTCGTCTTGTGTGTGAATTTTTATGCAATAAGCATAAATAGTTTCTGACATACGGCGTGACATGCGAAAACCCCCTTTCTTTTTTTTTTTACAAAAAACTCAATATCTCTAAAATAAAACAACGCTCACTAAAACCAGAAGTCCATTACTAGACGTAAAACATGTCCTGAGTGACTTTTTATGTCCTGTCTGCACTCAGGAGATCCTGAGCGGTTTTTAGACGTACCGTTAATTTATAGGCATATATTTGAAGCTGTTCTTAATTATGTACATTATCTATAGGTATACATGTATCAGACAAAAAACTTTCCAAAGAACTTAGTTCTAGTTATCTTAGGTCCTAGTCACAGGCACTTGTCTCAGAAAAAAACATTTCCTATATACTTTTAATGTTATATTAAGGTATATAGGAAACAAAATTCTGAGACAAGTGCCTGTGGTCCTAATGTGAAATAAATCCACTGGGAATTGGCCTTTTTAAACACAACTATATACACGTTTTCTCAAGGGTTTGTACATGTAAAGTGAAATTATGTTTACTAAATGCGTAGTTACATAAGTTTATTTGCTACTTTTTTCTTCTTTATTTTATATAAATGATTTTTTTTTTTAATTTTTAACATTTTTTCTACGAAAAATTTGTAGTGTTGCAATAGGGAATGGACACAGATACTTAACTACATTTAACGAAAGAAATTTTGTGTAATGTCATCAATCTGTATTACACATAGACAGGATGTTCTCTAGATAACTATGGTATAATTCTAATACGTTATACACACCCCAGGGTACACGCACTGTCGTAATGGAAAATTACTGCATGCTTTAATTACCTGTAATCAGCCATGTAACAAATCAGTTGACTGACCATGTCATTACAGTTTAAAAAGTTTTTCCTCAGATCAAAACGGAATATTCATTTTAACTTTAAAATTTAAAACTTTAAAAGTATACTTTGACATAATTATGAAGTAAAAGAATTTAACAATTGACTAATCGGATTTTTCCAAAGATTAAGATACAATTATATTTATTATTCTGGGACTGACAGATATATCACAGGCACTTGTCTCAGAATTTTATTTCCTATATACCTTTATTAAAATATATAGGATTTTTTTTCTGAGACAAGTGCCTGTGAGACATATACATGCATAAGTCCCAGACATATATAATTGTAAATCAAAATGATTTACCTAATTACTGGGAAAAAATATAATGTTTCAGTTATGTTGATGTCACAAATACACATGAATTATTTGATGATGCATGCTGGAATTTCTTATCTAAATGCATGACGGTGACCACAGACATATATATATATATATATACATTTACTGATTCTATAATTTCTCGAGAGAAAAAAATCAGGAGGGAAGTCAGAAGGAAGTGAAACAAACATTTTAAGCTTTTAATAAAAAATTGTTGGGAAGACAATAAAATACGACACTGAGTTTTGAAAAAAAAGTTTATGATTGGTCTTGGTTTTTTTTTTTAATAAAGATGCCCCCTTTTTAGCCACACCGACGAATGGAGAATTCCAAATAGGGTCACAAGGTCACATTTTAAAACTTTTTCAGTCGCCCAGTCTCAAAAAGCAATTTTGACTGGCATTGTTTTTAGTCGAATTATATTTTTGCAGGTCAGGTTGCAAAGTGGCAGGTCGGATTTGACTATGTTGACAACGGTCCTAAAACGGGGTGCACTTCAATATTTAATTGATAGGGGGTGTCGCTGGGGTTCTGTTACCCCACCCTTTTCATATAATTTAGATCTTAAAAATGTATACCTTTTCATATATTGCGAGGGTAAAATTGTAACCTTTTCTCATATTGATTGGGTTTCGTGAGGTGTGTTGGAAAAGTGGAATATTTAAGGCTAAGATTCTGTGTGTAATGTTTACTTACGGCGAGACTTTCGGCTGTGAAAAAAATGACAGGGCTTTTCATATACAAGTAATTGGAACTTTATCGACCTTAACTTCGAGATTAATATGTAAGTTTACTTTGCTAATCGATGTTCCTGTAATTCAGATTTATATTTATTTGTGAGACCCCGTCACTATTTATATTCACTCAAAGAAAGGGGTTCTCCGTTACTGGGAAAATCTTATCTGATTCAGGATCAATTTATCGGTTACACTCCCCTATCACCAGTGATTCTTTGTTGTAAGCTGACATTCTGAAAAAAGGTATACTGTTGACTATCAATTTGCACGATTAGTTACAGATGTCGACTCGGACTACTGCAAAAGACAATAATTCAGTTCACTAATTTAGATTGAATAGTGGTTCGGTTAATCCCCTCTTCCCCAAACAAGTAAGAATTAGGTTACATCTTTTGGTAGTCCAAATAATTATGACGTCTTGCAAGGCTATTTTAATTTTTTTTTCTATCTATCTATCTTCATATTTCCGCACTCAGTCACAACTTCGACTATTACGTGCCCAGAAAAAAGTTAAAATAGCCTTGCAAGACGTCATAATTATTTGGACTAATCTTTTGGCAAATATGGTCGTACCACAGGGGTTTGTTACAATTTACCGGGTTTACTATCCTTACGAATCCTGAAAAACTAACAAGGCCAGGTGATAAAAAATCTGTCTCCCCTTTTTATCCCACCAGAATATCAAAAGGTTGTCTCCTTACACCTACATGACAAAAATATATACAAATATGGTATCATGACAATGTGACGGCTCTTCAACAGAAACTAAAGACGTAGAAGTTAATAACTATATAGGTCACCGTACAGATTTTAACAATGGGCTAAAAAGGCAAACTGCGTAATAAGCTACAAAAGGCCAAAATAGATAGACAATATCTGACAAGGGTAGAAATGTCCAGAATGTTGAAAAAAAAATCTACTGTCCATTTTAGATCTTGGGTAAACTCCTTATATTATACTGCCTGGTCTGGTGGTAGCGTGTTCACCTCAAGTGCAGAAGGTTGTTTATTTTGAACCCAACCAGGTAAAACCAAAGACTTTAAAGTTGGTATTTGCTGCTTCTCCCTTAAGCATGCTGTATTATTAAGGTGTAAGAGCAAATACTGGTTTGTTCAGAGTCAGAATAATGTGTCAAGGTAAGGTGACATGTCTCTCAGAGAACTAGTGTAAGAGATAAATTAGTCCTGGTAAAAATAATGAAAATTGTCTGGTCAGACAAATATAACTAGTATTAAAAGTCCATTGGATACAGAATTTACTAGTATATTTAGTCCGATGTCAGTAATTTATGTCCCCAGACTAATTTTCCTAGTCCATGACATCACTATTCCGAGGAAAAAATGTCCAGTTTTTTTAATACTGTATGCATCATGTCAAGTATATTTGGTGTATGAAATTTTTAAGGATGTATGTTTGTCTGGCATGTTTTATTCAACCTTGACCTCATTTTTATGGTTCATTGCTCAATGTTATTTTTGTTTGTTTGTTTTTTGGTCTATTTTTTCTATTTCCTTATTTTCAAATTAGCAATAGGTCAACTATATTTGGTGTATGGAATGATTGTAAGGTGCATATGTCTGACTGAGAAGTTTCATCTTACCTTGACTTTATTTTCATAGTACATTGGACAATGTTTAGTTTTTGTGGTTTGATCTATTTTTCGGATACTGTTAGCAATAAGGCCCCTATATTTGGTGAATGGAATGATTGTAAGATGCACATGTCTGTCTGGCATGTTTTATATGACCTTGACCTCATTTTCATGGTTCATTGGTCAATGAAAAGTTTGCATTGTTTTGTCAGTTTATCATATGCTTTAAGCAACCGGTAAATTATATTTGGTGGATGTAACGATTGTAAGGTATGCATGTCTGTCTGGCAGATTCATATAACCATGACTGCATTTTATGGTTCTTTGGTCAATGCTAAGTTTTCTTGGTTTTTTCATTTTATCAGATATTATAAGCATATGTCTACTTGTTGGTGTATGGAATGACTGCAAGGTGTCATATAAAAATAACAAGATGTCTGTCTGCCAAGGTTAATATTGCTGTGACCTCATTTTCATAGAATATTGATAATATTAAACAGCAAAAATGATGAGCAAGACAAGATATACAAATGATCCAAAATTGTCAGTTGCCTACTAGGACTAATTATGTGATAGTAGTTATTGTCATTAAATGATAATGTTTACCCTTTTATGTGTAGGGCAAGGACATTAAAGATAAAGGGAAACTATAAACAAAAGAAATTATCAACAAAAATAGATTTACAGACGTCAACAAAGCCTAAATGGTAAGTCCACTTCTATAAAAGTTATTGCCCTTGAATAATGATTATTATGAAAATAAGATGTGGTATGATAAATAAGAAAACTATCCACCAGAGTTCAATTAAGTGGATGTAAGCAATGCAATTACTTATTAGAGGCCAATGATGACCTGTAAATAATGAGAAAACCCATACCCTATACATGATATAGTCATCTATAAAAGACACCACAAACAAAATTTGGAACAAAACATCAATTCAAACTTCAAATATACCAGACTAATTTATAAAAAAAAACAAGTTATGAAAAAACAAATATGACGGACTTGAACCAACATCAACCACTGAACTATGTACAGGCTCCTGATTTTGGACAGGCAAAATATGGCAGGGTTGATATAAAGATAAGAAGCGGTATGATTGCCAATGAGACTTTTCTCCAATAGAGATCAAATGACATTGAATTTAACAAAATTAGTTCATGTACAGCCTTCGACAATGAGCAAATCCTATACTGCATAGTAATCTATAAAAGGCCATGAAATAACAAATGTAAAACAATTTAAAAAGGGCATGGTGTCTATCCATGCTAAACATGCTTGGGGGAAACACCACAAAGGCGAAAGCTAAGTGCCTGATTTTTGCACAAAACAAAAAATAAATAAAATGCTCCGCAGGGCGCAGCTTGATACGACCGCAGAGGTCGAACCCTGAACAGTTGGGGGAAGTATGGACACAACATTCAAGCTTGATACAGCTTTGGATTTGGATTGTGATTAAATATTTGACACAGCATAGGTTTCTAACACAGATTGAATGTGGTCTAAGAACTTAAAAATTTTAAATTGGACATTCACCTATTATGGTCCAATATCCAAAATCTAAATACATGGTTAGATTCAGCATATCAAAGAACCCCAAGAATTCAATTTTTGATGAAATCAAACAAAGTTTAATTTTGGACCCTTTTGACCTCAATGTGGACAAAGTTGATAACGGGGCCCAAAAATCAAAAATCTAAATACATGGTTAGATTCAGCATATCAAAGAACCCCATATATTCAATTTTTGTTGAAATCAAACAAAGTTTAATTTTGGACCCCGATTTGGACCAACTTGAAAACTGGGCCCATAATCAAAAATCTAAATACATGTTTAGATTCAGCATATCAAAGAACCCTAAGAATTCAATTTTTGTTAAAATCAAACTAAGTTTAATTTTGGACCCTTTGGACCTTAATGTAGACCAATTTGAAAACGGAACCAAAAATTAAGAATCTAAATACACGGTTAGATTCGGCATATCAAAGAACCCCAATAATTCAATTTTTGATGAAATCAAACAAAGTTTAATTTTGGACCCTTTTGACCTCAATGTGGACAAAGTTGATAACGGGGCCCAAAAATCAAAAATCTAAATACATGGTTAGATTCATCATATCAAAGAACCCCATATATTCAATTTTTGTTGAAATCAAACAAAGTTTAATTTTGGACCCCGATTTGGACCAACTTGAAAAATGGGCCCATAATCAAAAATCTAAATACATGTTTAGATTCAGCATATCAAAGAACCCTAAGAATTCAATTTTTGTTAAAATCAAACTAAGTTTAATTTTGGACCCTTTGGACCTTAATGTAGACCAATTTGAAAACGGAACCAAAAATTAAGAATCTAAATACACGGTTAGATTCGGCATATCAAAGAACCCCAATAATTCAATTTTTGATGAAATCAAACAAAGTTTAATTTTGGACCCTTTTGACCTCAATGTGGACAAAGTTGATAACGGGGCCCAAAAATCAAAAATCTAAATACATGGTTAGATTCATCATATCAAAGAACCCCATATATTCAATTTTTGTTGAAATCAAACAAAGTTTAATTTTGGACCCCGATTTGGACCAACTTGAAAAATGGGCCCATAATCAAAAATCTAAATACATGTTTAGATTCAGCATATCAAAGAACCCTAAGAATTCAATTTTTGTTAAAATCAAACTAAGTTTAATTTTGGACCCTTTGGACCTTAATGTAGACCAATTTGAAAACGGAACCAAAATTTAAGAATCTAAATACACAGTTAGATTCGGCATATCAAAGAACCCCAATAATTCAATTTTTGATGAAATCAAACAAAGTTTAATTTTGGACCCTTTGGACCTCAATGTGGACCAATTTAAAAACGGGGCCCAAAATCCAAAAACTAAATACACGGTTAGATTCAGCATATTAAAGAACCCCATGAAATCAAGAATAAAACCCCATCGAAATTGGTCAAGAAATAAGCAATTTATAGGAAGTATCTTCTTTTGCACAATCCTGTGCTATTAAATATTTCTTGCTATTGCGCAATACTGTACAATTGACAATTTCTTGCTATTGCGCAATATTGTGCTATTGGATATTTCTTGCTATTGCGCAATACTGTGCAATTGAAGATTTCTTGCTATTGCGCAATACTGTGCAATTGAAGATTTCTTGCTATTGTGCAATACTGTGCAATTGAAAATTTCTTGCTATTGCACAATACTTATTATATAATAATTTACACATCCTGTTTGGTGTGTATCTCCTACCATATAATTTTTATTTGATTTTAATATAAATCAGAAATAACCAACTTAAAATGGAATATTTTAAAAGAAACAAAAAAGGAAAAAAAGAAAAAAAAGGAAAAAAAAATAAATCCCCCCCCAAAATTTTTTGAACCCCCATTATGATTCATCACCCCCAAACTCAATCCCAGCCTTCCCTTTGTGGTATGGTACCTTGCAGTACAATTTCAGAGAGATCCATACACTTGAACACAAGTTATTGTCTGGAAACTAGAAAACAATGTGTTTTTTGGCCCCTTTTTGGCCCCAAATTCCTAAACGTTTAGGGCAATTACCCCCAAACTCAAACCCAGCTTTCCCTTTGTGATATGGAACCTTGTAGTACAATTTCAGAAAGATCCATACACTTACACACAAGTTATTGTCATGAAACTAGAAAAATGCTTGTTTTTTGCCCCTTTTTTGGCCCCTAATTCCTAAAATTTGGAGGCAATTACCCCCAAAATCAATCCCAGCATTCCTTTAGTGATATGGAACCTTGTGGTACAATGTCAGAGAGATCCATACACTAACACACAAGTTATGTCTGGAAGTTACAAAAATGCTTATTTTTGGCCCCTTTTTGGCCCCTAATTCCTTTACTGTTATTACCATAACCCCCAAAATCAATCCCAACCTTCCTTTTGTGGTATTGAACCTTGTGGTAAAATTTCATAAAGATCCATTAACTTAAACTAAAGTTAGAGTGCGAAAACCAATGTGTCTTCGGACGACGCTGGACGACGCCGGACGACGACGACGACGACGACGACGACGACGACGACGCCGGACGACGACGACGACGCCGGACGACGACGACGCCAACGTCATACCAATATACGACCACAAAAATTTTTTTGCGGTCGTATAAAAACAAATATGATATATAGCAACAATTGACAACCACTGAATAACAGGCCCCTGACTTGGGACAGCCACTTACAAAATGTGGCATGGTTTAACATGTTTGCTGGCGCCAAATCCTCTAATTAAGGACAGTGGTGTAAGTGTCAGTTCATTTAAATATAAAAACTATAAAATCAGTTGAAAAGGGCTATTTTCTGCTCTTTGGTCAGGTTATTTTGATACATTCCCGTTTTCATTTTCAATTTTATTAACTCATTAGAATGCAACAAAGCAGAAAAACAGCTACCAAAAACACAGACCGGATGTGGCTGGAAATTTATTCTTTCCCTTTAACAAAAAAGACTCAACATACAGATCTATTAGTACTGACAGTTACTGACAGCTAATTCAAAGCAAATATCAACTAATAAAATAAACATTTTGTGAGCACCCAACCCACCCCTAACCTGGGACAGTGGTTTTAATAACAGCACAACATTTGAACAAACTGTAAACATTTGTTGCAATTGGCTTAACTCAAAAGACTGCAACAAGGCACAAAAAACAACTAATATGAAAACCATAGACACAAAGCACTGAAATAAGAGTTCTTACAATTTTAAATATTCAGATGAAATTTTTATCCAAATGTACATAAACATGATAAAATAGCCATTTTATTGCTGTATTTCTCTTCATTTATAATTTTTGAGTTTTGTGTATTTGTAGGTCAGACATCTTGGTTTTCATGATCATCATTCAACAAGTCAATACTGAACAGAAAACTTAAAGTTGATATTTTTCTACATAGTGTGACTTTTGTATTAATTTGAAATGGAATGTGTTTTTTTCCTACATAAGAAAGAGGAAATTTCATCATAATGACTATAAACAAAAAGGCGTCATATCATCATGATCATAGATGCACAAGAACTTAATCATGTAAATGCAACAACGTAATTATCAATTGAAAGAAGGGAGGAATGAAAAAATATATTAGTATTTTGTTGTCCAAATGAACTTGCTTTGTCCACTCATTTAAATCGCTCCATCCAATAAAGATGTACGGTGAAAGATTTTTGAAGAACAGATTGCAAAAGAGGTTTTGTCTTAGAATTGTAGGAATATTCTAGTGGATGAAATAATTTATTTACTTGACTCTTATATAGTGGGCTGAATAATTGTACATAGCAAGCTGAAACAAGAAAAACTAAAACTTAACAGGAAAAGTGTTTATTTTATAAATTTGCAAATATAAACGTAATATTATGAACACCACAAAGGTATAAGATTCAAATCGTTTGCATATTCATGTATTGCAATGGAACTATAACAAAGAAAACTTTAACTCATGAAAAGAGTAAACTATTAACTGTGCTTTGTCAATTTATTCAGTCAGAATATGAAATATTTTTTTCAGTTCTATTTTTCATAATAAAACAAACAAGACAAAGATTTCAAATCAATATTTTTTCTTTTATTAAGACATGTCATCATTTTATTTCAGTTAAAGGATTTTATTTTTGACTTTAAATAGTATTATACTTTCCAAAATAATAATAATCTTTATTGTCATATAAACAAATTAAAAACATGTTTGTGACAAAATGAAAAAAACCAAAATACACTCATACACGTCATATATATATTATAAACTTTTTACTACCAAACAGAATTCATTGTAACATACACATTACTGTATATTTATTATTTGAATTCCATAGGATTTTATTTTGTCCCATGGGATATGAAAAATCCCATGGGATAATTATAGTCCCATGGGATTTTTTTTGTCCCATGGGACAACAAATATCCCATGGGACTACAATTATCCCATGGGACCCAAAAAAATCCTATGGGATTTAACCAAAATCCCATGGGATAATGGTCAATCCCATGGGATTTGCCTTATCCCATGGGATATTGAAAATCCCATGTTTTTCTAAATCAAATTACAGAATATATATAATAATAACAGTAGAAAAGCAATGAAATTATTGAATCCCATGTAATTCCGCACATTTTGGTTATATACACGACATTGTAGGTCTAAGGAGAGGCGGCGGCGGATTTGCAAATGAGTGTTTTGCAAATTAAAAGTGTCCAGTGTTAGGAATTTCATTAGAGACTTTACATTCTCGTTATCTTATAATCTATGCATTCCCCCCTCAAAGAAATGTAATATAATTTTTTTTTTAAAAACATTGGTTTATCATTTTGTAAAACTTTTCCATAGATCTGATAATTTTTACATTATTTGTAATGGTTACATCCGAGTTCCAATTTACTTTATTGAAAAAGAAAGTATGTTCAGTTATAATTTGAAAAGTGTTTGTCGAATGGTTTGTATAGTTTCACTATCTTCATGTTTGCAAACTATTTGACTACACATCAAATTTTGATTTGAAGCATTACTCGTTGATTTCTAAAACTAAAAAGTAGTTTGAGGTTATTCCATCATCGTGAGCATTCAAAATTCTTAACAGTCCTCATAAACTGTTAGTGCAACTTTTATATACATGATCATAAACATGATAAACCTTGTTCATATAAAAATACAAAATATAAAAAACAAAACAAACGCTACTACTAAATGAATGATTCGAGGCTTTGAGCATGTACAGTTTAACACAGTGGGACCATTATATATCATATAGGCTATAATGGATTATGATTAAAACTTGATATAAATCATAGAATATGTTGGATATACATCAATGAGACAGAAACTCAACGACACAAAAACCCAAAAGACATCTACAGTCCTACAATTTGAGTATAGTAGACTATACAACGATTTGTAATGAACATCAAATTTCCCAAATGACAAACAACGACGCTCTTGATTTTGCACAGGGACATGATTATATGGTGGGTTAAACTATTTTTCTTAGACCATCTCCCTTTTAATCTTTTCTATGTTTATTTAATATGTAATTTGTTTATGGTGTTGATTTGTAAGACTTCACAGGCAATGAACACATAATTGTTGTGTCGAGAAATTGATATATTTGTTTAATTTATGTTTTTTTACAATTTTTGAAGGCGAAAAGTTAATACAAATAAGGATAATACCGAAGTTCAACCTGATACAGATTGCACTGATTATGATTCAGACGGATTGAAATATAATACTCTATACAATGCATCTGAACAACAAGACATCATGGAAGGGGATTATCATACTGTTGACTTAGAAAGGAAACAAAATAGAACTGGGATACAAACCTTTGGTGGCGACTACAGTGCAGTTGACGGAAACTATAGCTCCATTGATATAGTTAACATGCCTGTGAAGGATGGTTCAAAAACCAACAATAAAATTAAGTCAACATCCACCACAACAGATAGATCAGAAACACAACGAACTGAAGAAGAGACGAGTAATAATTTAAAACATGTGACTCCAATGGCTAATAGTAATGTAGAGTATGCCGTTGTAGACAATAGAGGAACAAGTGATAAAAAAGTAAAACACGTTACTGCTCCAAACGATAGCAATGTAGAGTATGCTGTTATTGATAAAAAAATACAAATCTAATAAAACTTAATATAAGTTTATAAAGTATATATAATAAAACTGTATTTCGGTATCTTTATCATCTCTGCGTTTGAAATATATATTCTAACTGGTGTTGTCATATATCACTAAAAAATGAAGATTTGGCAATTCAACCTTAGAAAAACTTGGTTTGGTTAGTGGTACGTCTTTGACAGGGTCGACAGTGATATCTTTTATACAGTCAATTCTGACATATTTTATAAGTCGACACTGATATCTTACATATAGTCAATGGTGGTATCTTTTATACATTCAACAATGATATCGTTCATCATTCGACACTGATATCTGTCATATAGTCAACAGTGGTATCTTTTATACAGTCAACACTGATATCTGTCATAAAGTCAATAGTGATATAATCATACAGTAAACAGTGATATCTTTCATACGTAAACAGTGATATCTGTCATACAGTCAACACTACAATAGTAAAGACTTACGTATTTTATGAATACATCCACAGTAGTTCTCATGGTTAAACCAATCATAGAACAAAACAAACCTAATAACAAATGGTCCACAGCACATGTAAATGACTAATATACATATTAGAACGGTGTCTTGTATTTGGATGGAAGTAACTTGATATGGGCTAAAGGTTGTAACTGTCTTGTCAGAGAGTTTCTATACTGTGTCATTAAAACAATTGTTATACAAATAGTTTACTATGTAAGTCGTCTTACTCATCATTCTTCTGACCAAATATTTCGTATTTTTTTAAATGCTGGATTGCTATTCAATGACGTACATTTGTATCCATAGCATTTTCCTTCACTCAAATCATATGGTCATCAAACTTGGTATTGTTCCATGAGGAGAAATCGTCTACATATTGAAAAATCTAATGTATTAATATAAAAGTAAGGAGATATAGTATAATTGCCATTGACGACTATCAACCAGAATGTGGAGGGGTTAAACAGTTTGTGAGCGATCAACCCTCCCCTAACCTGAAACAGTGGTGTAACATCACAACATAAGAACAAACTGTAAAAATCAGTTTCAATTGGCTTACATAAAAAGATCGGTACGAGGCACAAAAAACATAATAAATAAATCATCTAAAAATAAAAAGACGTGGTATGATTGCCAATGAGACAACTCTCCACAAGAGACCAAATGACACAGAAATTAACAGCTATAGGTCATCGTACGGCCTTCAACAATGAACAAAGCCCATACCGCATAGTCAGCTATAAAAGTCATGTTCTCCTTGACAAAAGTTTCAATCAGTACACATCCAACGGATTTAGTGTAAAGACGTCATCAATAGTATAAGAAACGCATGACCTTGTGCAATGCTTAAATATAAGTAAACAGTATCGACAGGATGTGAGATGAGGACTCTTGTATATGTACATATATAGCAATATATATTTAGTTATGGTTTAATTTTTCAAAAACAAAATCAATGTAAGTACCAATAAAAACAATATTTAAATATTTTACAACTGTGTTAAATTTATAACATTTCAGAATAATTTCTGTCAAAGGATCAATTAGTTACCATGGGTCATATTTAAGTTTTCGGGCTTTATAAACAACATCACGTAAAAATGTGATGGGATATCCCGTTTTTGATAAGAACTATACAGGTTACAATCTTTCTACCAAATATTTGAATCTATGAAAGAATTTTGTAAACGTTTTGATTAACTTGTGGTAACGAAATCACTGACTTATCAATTTATCAGTTATACGTAAATTACTTTCATTGAAATCTGAAACGCGACTACAGACACGGGCATAGCGAACAAGTTGTGAAACATTCGCACCGTAAGTCTGCCACTGAGCTATAAGAAAAAAACTATCAATCAATCATTTGAATTCAAAGTACTAACTAAAAAAATGTCCTTATCATACCTTTTCCTTTTTTGAAATAGAGATTAAAGAACCACAGATACAGCTTCGTCCACTTTATTTTTAGACATATACCTCGAATTTGACTACAGCGTTCAGCTCAGTACCAGAATCTATGACAAAGGAGACGATTTCAAGTTTGAAATTATAAATTTTCCTCGCTTTAGATGTAATATACCAACATCATTCGAGTAAGGAATATCTCAACTCATACGATATTCTAGAGATTGTAGTTTCTACTCAGACTTTGTAGAACGTCATCGCTGGCTGAGCAAAATATTGATACGCCAGGGTTTGTCAAGGAGCGTCTCGTCCTTTTTCTCCAAAAGTTCATCGGAAAGTACCAAGACCTAATAGATAAATATTCAGTGTCTACTTCACAAATAATACAAAATGGTGTCGAGTTATAGAATCTAGGTGCATACGTTGTGTATCTTTTTATTTACTTTACAATTTTCTCTTTTTTGTCTTTGTTCTATTATGTTCCTTTTTATCATATGACTCTTGACGTGGCTCTGTATCTATGCATCAAGCTATCCGGTTATTGATTTTTGGCGTTCCTGATGCAGGTGGGTACAGAGGTGCGATTCGGACGCAAGAGGTTTTTACAGTTGTATTCAGTTTCATTTTGTTTACCCTATTATTTATATTTTACTTAATTTGTGCTTTATTGAGAAAGTGTATACTATATACTGAATATACTATCAACTACAAAAACACTTATTGTTGGCGTCATTGTAAAATTTACTATCAACTAAGAAAACAAAAACTTTTATAGTTGGCGTCATTGTTAGATTAATTTGAATGTTTTGGCTGCTAGTTCCCAATTATTGTCACATAAACCTATCATGTCTGTTTGGGTAGCTCACCCAGTTGTGTCTATATAACGAAACTATTAACAAATTATAAACAACTGTCATACAAGTGGAAAATTTAGCTAGCTATTTAACCAGGTTTAATCCACCTTTTTATTCGGGAAGTGCTTGTTCCAAGTCAGGAATATTTTCCATTCGTTTCGTTGGTTGATGAAGTCTACAATTTGATTTTGTCAGTTTTTATGGACTTCCCCTTTTTGAATTTACCTTGGAGTTCTGTATTTTTTTCAACGTCAGATCTAGTGTACTTTACATTTTTAAAGGTAATTTTCACAACTTCATAAAGCCAATTATACCACACAATGCTTGTAAGGTATTTAAAAGGGTGCACTTTGTATATGTAGACTTCCGGATTTCAATATTTAATTTAGATCATTGTAAAGGTTAATGTGCAACTATTTTTTGTGTGGATTTCATTTACAATAACAAGTAAGAAGCATTAGTCAAATAGATAAGAAATATCATTTAATATGTTAACAATTAAAAAAAATAAATTTTCTATGGTAGTATCATGACAAAAATTTAATTTGGTATGGTTTATCATAGAAATATATCCTATAAAATACATCCTTCTTTAAAGATCTAGAACTTACTGTATTTAAATATGGATAATAGTCTTTACCAAATTATGTGTGTAGTTTTCTAGAAATAATCAAAACAATCCTTAAATTGTATATTTTAACAAATCGTTGTAACTATTTCTTTTTTACTCTTAAGCAATAAAAATAATTTCTTCTTTCCCCCATTTTCGTATAAAATGTTGTTTAGTAGATTAGGTCGTATTTGTTTCTTTTTTTTTTTGTGACTCTGCGGCGAATAATAGTTGTGGGGATATCGGTTAACCATTTTCGTCCATTAGTTGCTCGTCGGACGATTTGCGTATCAACTCATTTTAGTTTTATAAGCGATTCTTTATTGCCAAATGTATTTTAACATGACCATAAGTCTTTTCCAAGCCAAGAACCTCTTTGTTGTTTGATTTTGTCATAACTTATTATTTTTTTAATTTGGTGAATACAGCAGTTATTTGATAGTCTCTAGTACATTGCAAATCAGTTCATTCATAACGAGTGTCGATTTATGATCGAAATATTGTATGAGACACTTTTCTTATCGTTGGAAATCATATGTTTACCTCTAGATTCCTTGTTGTGCCATTGTATTGCTGTTTTATTTGCATGTATGCCAATTTCACATACATGTACTTTCATAACAAAGATGGGATGTAATATTTTCCCCTTACAGTCAACAGATTTTCAATAGAGTCAGAATTGCATTTAGTCTACGCAAATGGTTTTCCCTTTTGATTTGTAAATGTATAGTCTGTATATTTGATAAATGTGCAACGTAATGACTATTGTTTATTATGTAATATTTCAACTATGTTATTTAATACCCAAGGCAAAATACCAGTGCATTTAAATACGGTATTAGAGCTTGATTATCAGTGATCTACTTCCTACTTCTGAATGGAAATCTTCATACAAAGAGTACTGAAAGGGAAACATATGCATTGAATCACGGGATTCAGTTTGCCTCTTTAATAAAAGTTCTTGATCAGCATTATTTTAAATGAAAATAAAAGTAACATGGAATGTAAGTTGTTTGGTATCCAGTCAGAAACTTCGAATGTGTTACCTCAGTACAAAACTAGAGTAAATCAACTAAAAAACATTGAATATCTCAACGTTCAAATATCTGAATTCCCTAAATCAATCATCTAATCATATCAATATACATATTTTGGTACACTACTAAAATATGAATTCAACATTGAACAGATCTGCAACGGATTTGCGAAATAAAAAAAGTACAATGTTCATAATAATCATGTATCATAGAAACACATGTATGACCAATATTAATCTCTCTGAACTCATGATTCAGTGATTTATACTAATAAACAACCAATGGTAAATATATCACCCATGTTCAGAGCAAAAGGAAAAAACCACAATGAAACAGAAAATCAGTATCTGAAATATGGGTCAATCGGGATTGAGGGCAGGAAATTTCGCCTTCTATTGGAGAAAGAGGATATACTTGTTTGGTGAAGATACTATCAATCATACCTATTTTGAGAACTGGCCATTTATTTATTATCTGAAAAAAGCCTTCTTTATTAATCCTTGCTTCATGAATTTGATACTATGTAATAGTTTACAACGCAACAAGGGCCATACATATATCGACATACGCAGATGTGGCATGGTTGCAAATGAAATAACTAGTTCAAATGACGATGATGTCTGCACCTATAAGTCACCATGCGGCTTTCAACAATGAGAAAAATCCATACCAAGTAGTCAGCTGTAAAGAACTCCGACATGACAAATGTGAAACAATTCAAATGAGCAAACCAACGGCCTGATTAATGATAAACCATAATGGAAACAAAAATCTGACAGACGTGTATGCGATAATAGGCAAAGGACCTTCAGCAAAATATTTACAAGCATAATAATTTTCATTCTTTCATAAAAGAAATTAATTTATCATTTTAGAAGTGCAACAACAGACAGTTCCAGAGCCATGTCATTTTTCTACACCAAGACGGTCAATAGGTAATAGCATCTTTTGTATTCTAAAAGAAAATATATACACGAAATAGAACGTGCATCATAATATAGTAAATTCATGTATAAGGCATAACGAGAACTGTAAGTTCAATTACAAATCGTGAGAACACATTTGTTTTCCATACTTTGGAATAAGCTGACTTTTGTTGTGGTCAATTATATTGTAGGTTTAAATATTTAAATCTACATTGCATGTGCTTGTATTAATATTGGAAAATACAGCTATAGCTTGAGATAAGGGATAATATTTTGATGTACTTAAATTGATTTATTACTTGTCCAACAGCCAAGGTGGCTCAGGAAAAGAAGAGGACTCTATTGAAGGACTCAGATTTAATAGTGTAGCGTTACGTATAACAACTCGACAGGACAATTGTGCTTGTCAGGTTTACTTACAAAACCAGACTGATACATATACAGTTTATATGCAGAAGAATAATAAATTGACATCAGCGGCACCGAATAGCTCTGACTGTGGGCTAGTGATAAATGTTAGTGTATATGACGGAGTTGGTACAGATAAAATATTGAAAACAGTTGAATGTGCGAATGGAACTTTGTTTCAACCGATTTCTCTAGAAATAAATGGAACGCTCAATTTTAAATCAACGGTAATTGAAGGAATTTTTACAAGAGGATACTGCTTGCAGATTTTCAGAAGTAAGAGCACATACATATATGTACATATATTTTAAATTCTAAGATTTTATTAAAGTAAAGCAAAAAGGAAAGAAAATAAAGACCGTGTTTTAACTACAAAATAGTGAAAAATGCGAGAGAAAAAAACACGAAGTAACAGTTCAGACAATTACCACAGAGTCGTTTTTTTAAGTTTACAGTCTTATGAAACTAGTATTCTTTATACCACAAATAAAACTTTTTTCTTCCCATTTGTACATTTGCCTTTCCTTAATAGATATACTCTTTCTTTGTAGTTACGTCTCAGATTTCTATGAACGTACTATTTTCCTAAAATAATCAAATTAAAAAATAAAAGCCAATTTTTAAACAAAAACTGAAACAACCCCGGAATAACGAAAATATACAACAGAAATACGGATAAAGGTTTTAACTCTAGTTATTTATATATCATTTTGTCGTGTGTGTATTTTGATAACATAAGCTTTTATTTTAAGCTAGATTTAAACTTTTTTTGTTATTCTAGACAATTTAGCTTTAAAAATAAAAAAGGAGGAGGAGGAGAAGGTGGGATGACTGCTCAACGTCCAGCGGCAAATTAAATGCAAATTCAGGACAAGGACATGGTTATGTGATATACAATATAAAACCTGCAGACATGAATTTTAACATTAATATGAAAAAAAGATTGCCTTACAATGAAAAAAACAAACTGAAAATGTTCACACAAAAATAAAACTTATTTTTTATTCCTCAACGAACCCCGTAGTGTGAAAAAAAGTGACGTGATATGAAATCAACATTTCACAAAATATCCTTTTGTGACTATATTTTGTAAATAAAGAACACAGGAAGTGTTCCAGCTGCATTTATATATTGAAGATTTTATGTAGAACACCAGATGGTGTTTGTCCTATTGGGTTGCTGTCACGGCCGTTTACCACACACCTTCCTTCTTTAATGAAAAAAAGCTTGATGAACTAATACATGAAATAAAGATGGAACTGTATCAATCTTTTACAGAAAATCCTAATACAAGTCATCCTTCTCTACAGATTGCCTGCACGCAAGTAACGGCTAACAAAACAAATTATAGTCCAGTTATGAAAGAAGGTAAGATAGTTTAATTGTAGTTAAAACATTCGTAAATAAACTATTACTGTACACTGTCAATATAACACATCTTCTGACATTGTGTACAGTGGAAGTACGTTTACTTTCCTAAAATGAAAGTCTACAAATCACTTTACACAAGTATTCCCCATTCCAAACTAAAAGACAAATTGAAAGAGTTGGTATTACTTTGTTTCATTAAAAAGAATGACGAACGCAGATACAAGTATCTTGTCTTGGGGAGGGATAAATCGTACTTTGTAAAGAATCACTCTGATTCGAACAAAAATTCTCTAAAACTGACATTATCAAGATGCTTGATTTCTTGATTGACAACATATTTGTTACGTTCGGAGGACGTGTTTTTCAACAGACTGTCGGAATTCCAATGGGAACCAATTGTGCCCCTCTTCTTGCCGACTTGTTTCTTTATTATTATGAGGCTGACTTCATACAGGAGCTTCTTAGGAAGAAAGATAAGAAGTTAGCAATATCCTTTAACTTTACGTTCCGCTATATAAATGATGTTCTCTCACTAAATAATACAAAATTTGGTGACTATGTTAAACGAATCTATCCCATCGAACTAGAGATAAAGGATACTACAGATAAAGTTAAGTCTGCCTCATATCTTGACTTACATCTAGAAATTGACAATGAGGGTCGGTTGAAAACAAAACTTTACGACAAAAGAGATGATTTCAGCTTCCCAATTGTGAACTTTCCATTTCTATGTAGCAAAATTCCAGCAGCGCCTGCATACGGAGTATATATCTCCCAATTGATACGATATTCCCGGGCTTGTACTTCTTATCATGATTTCCTTAATAGAGGATTGCTGCTCACAAGGAAGCTATTAAACCAAGAGTTCCAAATGGTGAAGTTGAAATCATCCCTTTGTAAGTTTTACGGACGCCATCACGAGTTAGTTGACCGTTATGGCATAACCGTTTCACAGATGATATCGGATATGTTCCTTATGTCGTAACTACAATACCCTTCCCTTTTCACGAATGTGACCTACCGAATTAGACTATTTACCGAATGTGTTATAACATAAGCAACACGACGGGTGCCACATGTGGAGCAGGATCTGCTTACCCTTCCGGAGCACCTGAGATCACCCCCAGTTTTTGGTGGGGTTCGTGTTGCTTAGTATTTTTTTTTTTTATATTGTGTCATCTGTACTATTATTTGTCTATTTGTCTTTTTATTTTTGGCCATGGCGTTGTCAGTTTGTTTTCGATCTATGAGTTTGACTGTCCCTCTGGTATCTTTCGTCCCTCTTTTATCAAATATATCTATTACACAAATTCAACATTAAGCAATAGTTGAAATTAGAGGAATCAATTCAGTTCACATGCATATGGTTGTGCACATAAACTGTGTATCACAATGAAAGAAAGTATTTAAATGTAGAAACTATCCTTGAATCAATAACCAGACAAATACACTTCCTTGTTCCTATTTTCCAGATACTAGTTCAACACAGTATGTTGTCATTGGAGCTTGCGCTGGTGGATTTGTTTTTGTAATATCCATCGCAGTTGTTGTTGTAAGTTGTATTCGGTAAGTAAACATTTTCGATAAAAAAAATAAAAATAGCCCATTATCACAGTTTAATGAATAGGGTATTATTTCTGAATGACAGTCACGATAAAGGTAGACTTAATAACATTAACTGTACACATTTTACTAAACCAGATGCTCTTTACAGATGTTCAAGACCAAAATATTTGAGAATCCAAACTTATTGAAAAAAATGAAGCGCTTATAAACAGAAAAGGACAAAAAGTAAAGCCAAAAACATGGCAAACTTTTCGTGACCAAACAAAAACTGCTCCAACAGAGCTATATGGAAAAAAACGAAATTTATAGTGTTATTTGGATTAATTAGCACTGGATCGATACCACTGCTAATGGGTTATTAGTGCCTGAGAATATCATCAACTCAGTAGTTTAGCAAGCTCAATGCCAAAATATTTGAAAGTCCAAACCCTCCTGCAGGCAATTTTTTTTTATGTCCTTTTGTCTTTTAGCTTCTAACATTTCTACGTGTGTATACATGCCTGGCTTTTTTATTTTAAGTTTGAGGTAAATAAAGAAAACGCTTTGCACGCACGAAATGCAGACAGTGTTATTTTCATTTCATAACGGAAAAGTCGTTTAATCTTTCAATTCACCGGTTCTGTGACATTCCCGATTGTGACATTTCGACTATGAAGATTCGCATTGCCGGTAGTATGTGCATAGCAGATAAAGTATGAACAAAAATACCTAACTCTAAAGGGGAAGTCCATGACAAAATCAAACGTTCAACTATATAAACAATTGGAACGAATGGAAAACTATTGACAATATCCTGACTTGGTACACACATTTTCCGAAGAAAATGAAGCGTTAAATCTGGTTGTATAGCTAAACTCTCCACTTGCATGACAGTCGTTTATAGTTCAGTTATACTGACAAAATTGAGTGAGCAACCCAAGCAGATATAATTGGGTAACGTGATAATAAATTTAATCCAGTAGCCATATCTATGTTAAAATACATTACAGACATACAACACAACTGACTTAAAAAATCTAAACGTACAAATAAATCTGACAAAGACGCCAACAAAATTAAGAATTGTATTGATAGTACATACACTATAGTAACACATAATGACATATATACTTACCCGATAGAGTACACATTAAGTAAAATGTGAACACAACACTTTGAAAATATCATACGTACGAATCGTGCATCTAAATCCAACCGCATCAGGAGCGCCCACAACCAGAAATCCAAAAACCTCGATGCACGAATACCGGGCCCCTTCAAGAGTCATACGACCAAAAGGAACACAAAAGCATAAAGACAAATACAGGGAAAACTGAAAAGTAAATAAAATGATACACAACGTTAGTACCTAGAATATTTAACTAATCCTATGTATTTTGATGTTAAAAGATGAAAACAACACGTTATAAATTTCATGCGTCCGAAACGCTTTTCTGAATTTACCTTCATCAGAAATATGTATCTATTACATTTTTTGACATAACACAGACTCATTAACTGTTTGCTCAGACACTGATTGTTAAAATAATCAATCTATGAGTTTAAATGTGTTAGTGATTGCCTGCTAACCATTCTAGAAGACATGTTGACCTCATAATGTTCAGTTTTGTCGATATTGAGTGTGGTGCTGTGTCATTTTAAGTGTTTATGCCGACTCTGATTTTCTGTTTAGTAGAATTGCTAATACTTCATTTTATGGTTAATACTGCACGTCCCTTTGGTATCCTTCGCCTCTCGTATGCTTCATTTTAGATGCTACTCGATTGTTGCAACAATCAAGTGTGGTTAATCAATGGTTTTAGGGAAGGGGACTTCAATTGTCCGAAATGGTTAAAAATACAGGTCTCATGAGGCGAATTTATTTTTGAAGATTTTATGCCAAATATTCCTTTCTGTGTCACAAATGGAGGGACTACATCATCTACACTCCCAAACTCTGAAACAGCGGTGACGTTGCTTTCCTAAAGTATAAGTAAGCGTAGCGTGGCAAGACAATATAACAAAAATACCGAATTCCGAGGCAAATTCAAAACGAGGAAGTCCATAAAAATTAACAAAATCAAACGCTATCAATCAACGGAGCAAGTGAAAAACAACTGCCATATTTCTGACTTGGAACAGACGACGACGACGACGTTGTCACTGTTTCGAAGTTCGCTACGCCCCCATCGGAATCCGCCACTAACATTAAAGAATTTAAGAACAGAACAACAGTAATAATTCTGATTTGTTAGTTGTATAAAACTGCAGTACTTATGATTTAAATATCAAACATAAAGCCTTACGGTCTATAGAATATGGCATCTTCTTCCATAACAGATGTTCTATTCATTGTTGGTAATTTAATGTAACGAAAAGTCATCTCTAGGAAATGCAGAGAAAAGAAGTGCAATGGTCGTTTACAAATAGATGACAACCATAGTACTGGATCTTAGATAAATTTAATTTGTAATATTGTAATTAAATGTTATAAAAAGGGTTTAAAATGTAGATGCATGAAAAATGAAACAATTTTTACTGTAGGAAGAAACAAATTAATGATTCAATAAATGATTACAATAATACAGAACTAAACAAAATGAAGTCAGATAACGATGCTGGTTATGATTCTGAAGGATTGAAGCGTAACATTCTGTACCAATCAAGTGAACAATGTGATATTACTGATGGTAATTATCACACAGTAGAATTAGAAGAGAGACAGGTAGTAGAGAATACACAGAACATTGATGGCGATTATATTTCCATTGATGAAAACTTAAGTTCTAACAGCAGACACAAATCAAAGCCAGGAATTCAACCTAAATGTAAAACACAAATTACAAAGAAAGAATTAGGATACAAGGTAGAACACGTAACAACTGATACTGGGAATAATGTTGAGTATGCCGTGGTAAACAAGACCGGTAGGATTGATGAAAATCCAGAATATTCTGCTTCCCCGAAGGCAGAGTATGCAGTGGTAGACTTGATAAAAACATAAAACATGTGACTCCTGAAAAACGGAAGCAATGTAGAATATGCTGTGGTAGAAAAAATACACAAATCTAACAAATTACACTAAGAGTAATATTCAGAAGCTTTCAGCACTACTGGTATTTTAATGATTATATGGCTTCAGCCGAAACAATATCCTTTACAGAATGATTATAACAAGAAAACATCTGAACCTTTTTAAAATGTTTTTGGCGATGATTATAAGAAATGGGAGATCACTGGATAACTCCTGCTGTATATCTATTGGATTTACAGTTTCAAAGCAGAAATTGTTGTCATGTAGAATCCATTGATAATATTTCTTTTAACACAACTCGCTTCGAAACACTCCTAGTTACGAATTGTGAATATAGATGTTTTTTTTTTCAATGTGTATACATATTTCCATATGTGTTTGTTTTTTCAATATGTATTTGTTTTTCAAGATGTTTCACTTCTGCTAAATAAGGGTTTTCAAGAAATAAGTATTTGATGTCGAATGAGTCACAGATCTGAGCTTTTTTAGTAATCAAGTGTAAACATTTAAATGGGAGAAAATTACATAAACAACAATATTTTTAAATTTGAAACTGCTTTACTATTACATATATTATTCATCACAAAGCAAACACATTTCATCTTGGATTCATGTGTTTGCTATGGTATCTGTTTTAACAAAAACAAACATTTAACTTTATCATTTCATCTTAAACCTGGGCAGATGAAGATAGACTTAACTAAAGACAATAACTTGAAAGTCAAATACTTTTACAAGAGAAATTATTAAAATGCACAACAGTTACTATAATTTCAGAACTATATTATGTCCTAATAATTTAATTTTGGATGTTACACGTCTTCTGATTGGCTGAAAGTTTTTTTTTTTGTCTATCAGCTCATAGACACAATTTTATCATCAACGATTTTATATGATTTACTCCTTAACAATTAATTATAAGGAACGACTGTCATATTGTTTTCTGTCTATTCGAAAAAATAGAGAGATGATACTTAGGGAGGAGAGAGGACAATCAAAAACCATAGTGAAATAAAAACAGGCAACATTTTGGCCAAAGACAAAAGGACAAGCAATAGTTCACAAAACACAACACATAAACTAATTATAATCGGGGTAAACTTAGATGCTCCGGAAGGACCTGTTCCACTAGTGACATCCGCTGTGTTGCTCTCTTAAAAACACATTGGTGAGTTATAAACAGTATTTATAAAATTGAGAATGGAAATGGGGAATGTGTCATGAGACACCAACCCGACCATAGAACAGAAAACAGCAGAAGGTCACCAACAGTTCTTCAATGCAGCGAGAAATTCCCGCACCCGGAGGCGTCCTTCAGCTGGCCCCTAAACAAATATATATACTAGTTCAGTGATAATGAACGCCATACTAAACTCCAAATTGTACACAAGAAACTAAAATTAAAAATAATACAAGACTAACAAAGGCTAGAGGCTCCTGACTTGGGACAGGCGCAAAAATGCGGCGGGGTTAAACATGTTTATGAGATCTCAACCCTCCCCCTATACCTCTGGCCAATGTAGAAAAGTAAACGCATAACAATACGCACATTAAAATTCAGTTCAAGAGAAGTCCGAGTCTGATGTCAGAAGATGTAACCAAAGAAAATAAACAAAATGACAATAATACATAAATAACAACAGACTACTAGCAGTTAACTGACATGCCAGCTCCAGACTTCAATTAAACTGATTGAAAGATTATGTCTTCATCATATGAATATCAGGCACAAACCTTCCCGTTAGGGGTTTAGTATCATACCATCATAACATATATGAGAAGAACATAACCCGTGTCATGACAAGGCAACTTAAAATAGCAGATTGATTAATTTCTTTTGACAAACCCAAAGATATCACCAAAAACAAAAACCAATATCAGTGCATGTAAATCTTCTCACCCTAATGCTTGAACAAATGGGAAAGTTGGAAGAGAAAATAATCTTTTTGTCCGCTTATCGTTTTAAAATATTCGTCTGCAAATTTCTT